TGGCGTGCCAAGTACTGTGAACTATAGGAAACTGGAAGCCCTCAGAAGCAAAGTCTGTGTCTGACTTTCTGCTCTCCAGTCTCCTGCTCCCCTCCCCCTAAGCAAGACACAAGAATCCAGAATTCCTCTTCTCTAAGGCAGGCCACGTAAATTAGAAACCTCTTCCCCAACGACAGCCAGAAAACCTAGAAAGGTCACTCTCCCTCCTCCCTTGAAAACTATCATTCCAGAGGGATCTTGCCCCATACCATGGAATAAAGAAATGTTACACAGAAAGGCCAAGAAGACTTTGAACAGATAGGCCTTGCTGAGTTTCCCCTATCTCTGTCTATTATCCTTTGGTACAATCGCATATGTACACGGTTGTCCATTCATCAAATCTAAAAACAGAGTTTTTCTTGAGTCTTCATTTCTGAAGGCTCCCATGCCACATAAAACTTTGATTAAGTAAATCTGTTACATCACTTGCTAACCTGTCTTTTGTTATAGGAATGTCAGCTGTGACCCTTATGTTGGGTGAGGAAAGGTATCACACCTTTTCTGTCTCTGTATAAGATACTGCATCAGATAGGTCATTTTTACCAGCTAGATTAAAAATGTATGTCATTATCTAAAAAGGGGAACTAACAAGAATAGGTGGATGGCATTCTTTCAGGGATTGTGCCAATCTCTGAAACCTAGAAGCATATGACCAACTTAATCATCTCCAGAATTCAAAGTATAATTTGTAAAACATTTCAATTAAATAAAACTTGTTTTATAAAAGAACTTAAAAAATGCTTAGAGCTATATGTTCATAACACTATAAAATATGTAGCTATTGCCATATGTCCAATCATTATGTATATAATTTCTAACTCAAAAAATAATATATAAAATGGATAATTTCTGCATTCAATTCAGGATATTTACTTATCTTCAAACAAATCCCGTAACTCCTTAGATTAACAATTCCTGCTTTAGAATCTCACTTCTTTTGGGAGGCCAAAGATATAAATTTCGGCTCAATTACTTCTCTTTATTTGCCAGCCTTAGCCACAAGGGACTTGGGATAATTCAATGTCAACCTCAAAGAAAAAATTTGCCAGCACTGAGGATATTGAACATAATACCATATACTAAAGGCTTAAAAGCAGATAATTCTAACAGTGTGGTCCTTAAATGTGTTTCTGCAATACTAGAACTAGTACAATATATAGTCTTTCAAAGGTAACAACTTTGAAGAGGACAAACTTCTGTTAGGTGAAAAATGAGTCACCTAATTTTATAAGCATATCTTGTGAGATTAGCTCTTACAGTCAGTACAGAACATGATTTAGAACAAGATTGACCTGTAAGAACTTTGTGAACCTAGTTTTCAAAAAAAATTAAATAAAAGCCACCAATAATTGTCTGCCACTCTTTTCTATTAAATTCCATAGATATTCATCTTTTGAAAGGTATGAACAAACAGAACAATTGAGACAAAGAACCAAGAAACACCTAAAGTTCAATCAGCAACGGCCCTCATTTTAGCCAAACTGATTTTGCAGTGAATTTTTATTTTAACAGTATATTTAATTTAAAACTATTCTAGATTATAACTTACTTGCTTGGAAAAAAAATTATTAAGGTCTAACAGATAGAATGTCCCTAATAGCTTGATCAGTAGGAATTGCTCAATTTCATTATCTCGGGATATATATATTTTAAAAGAAAAGACTATATAAGACTACATATCTATATAAATACATATCTTTTATATATAGTCACATATATATCTTTCAAATGAAAGGACTACTTTTTAAAGGGTTAGGGCTTAACAATGTTGACATCTTTACCTAAAATACTGTGAAACTGTTAAGTAAATACTCTTAAAAAATTCCTATAATATAAAAAACACTTTTAAGTTTTGAAAATCATTAGAAGCCACAGACATTTGCAAAATAAAAGACTGCAGCAAACCAGTTTGTAGTAGAAACAGATAAAACAGTTTGGATTGCAAAATATTTCTAATCGGACCATGATAAAATGAAAAAATTCATAGGAAGACAAAAGAACAATCAAGACGAAGATAAGGTTATTTATGAGTGTGGGGACAAGAATATTTAAAAATGTGAGAAATGTACAGACATCGGTAGTTGCGAGATGGGGGAGTTGCTGGAGTAGGGTAAATCTTAAATTAAGAGACTCAAGAGGATTGACTATGTCACTCTCAGACGAGAAGAATTCACTGATGAAAACGCTGGCTTGCCTCTCCTTTGGTGTTGCAACAGTTGTATTTTTCCATTCTTTGTGAAACTTGGAGATTACTCTTCGCAATTCTCTTTAGCCAAGAATAGTATTTTAACAATTCTGCCAACGCGGCAATCAGGTGGGCAAAGGGAAAGAAAGACAGTGAAGAAGCCGGGGAAAGCAAGGGATGCTGGCTAGAGACTGTGAGAGATTACAGTCAGCAGCGATGTGTCAGGAGGGATGAACAAATCCAAATTAGAACAGCTGAGCAGTAGTGGGGCAGGAGACAGGAAGGGTCCGGAGGAGAACAGTAAACACGGGCAGGAGTGGAAGAGCAAGCGTGTGTGACCCAGAACCAAGGGAGGTAATCAAAAGGAGGCAGCCGACCTGAGGAGCTGTGAGGGTGTTTAGGATCAGCCCGCCCTCCCGTCCTACTTTTTCCTCCTGTTGGAAAGGCAGTCACCTGGAGTGTGAGTTCCGGAGGGACTCGATCAGGCGCTGCTTCTGCTGTTGGAGGCTGGTGAGGCCACCGGGAGACCCAGTTGTGGAGGAGGAGGCGCTCTTGCTTAGGGGAAAGAGCCAGCTCATTCTCCTCGGGTCCCCGGGCCCGAGGCCCTAGGAGGCTCTGGCCTGCTTCTCCCAGCTGCTCAGCCCGGCTGTTCTCCAGCGACAGAGGGGCGGGCTGGCACGCCCGCGGCCCAAGCGCTGGGGGGACCGCGTCTCCTCTAGGCAAGCCCGGCCCGAGCTCCCAGGGTCCTGGGGGACATGCTATAACCGCGGCGGCTGGAGAGGGGCAAGTTGGCGTCCGGGACAGGCAGACCCCACCTCCGCGGCCCAGACGCCCCAGCCAGCCACTCAGGCAGCCTGACCGCCCAGCGATCCACCACCCCAGCCGCCGTCCCCTGCGTGTCCCGCCCCCTCCCGCGCGCCCCGCCCCTTCTGCGTGGCGTGTCATCATCTGGCGCCCCCGCCGGAACGTGTGAAAAGCGACGGCGCAGCACGGTGCGGCGCAGCTCCGGCTCCCCTTTCCCCCTTGCTGGGCGAGAGGTGTCTATGGGGCACCCGCTGCCGCCGCCGCCGCTACCGCCGCCGCCACCGCTGCCGGGTGCTGTCTCTATGGCGAGGAGGAGAAGGAGGAGCGCGAGCTCAGAGATACAAGTAGATCTTGCATCTGCTGCAGCCCTGCGGGGGGAGGGGCGGGTTGGGGAAGTAGAAAGGGGGCGGGAACGGTGAACCTTGAGAGGGTGCGCGATGGCGCCAGCGGAGAATGCGGCTGGCTGAGGGAAAAGCTGCGGGGAGGGTGACAGGGGCTGGGGGTTTGTCGGGGGGGGGGGTTGGCGCGGAGTGATGACGTAAAGGCTTTGTACCTGGGGCTAGGATGTGGGACGGAAATGGGGAGAGGAGGGCGGTGGCCTAGGGCCTCAGCTACTCGTAGCCCCTCTTGCCGCAGTGCTTGGGAGTCAGTCTAGTTCCAGTAAATGCTGTCAGCACCTTCGCTCTGGCTCTCTCCCAGGGAAGAGAGTTCTCTTTGACTTGAATGCCAGTATGCCGGTCTCTCGTTTCTCGGAGATGTTATCTCCAGTGATGGGAAGGCCTTTGGTGCCTCTTCGGGGCTATGGAACTGCAGTAGAGAGGTGGAGGAAAGCAACGTTAAGCTACAAGGTCTTTCCGTGTGTGTATGTGTGTGTGTGTGTGGAGAGTTGTAAAGGAGGGGTGTTCTAGATCTCCTTTAGTTTCTGAGAGTACTCGAGGTTACATTGGTGACCTTTCAGAGCTTAGAAGGTAGTCACAAGACCCTCCTCTTTTACCCTTGTTATAGTTTTTTTTGTTGTTGTTCACATGTATGTGTGAAATGTAGGAGCATTTGGAATTTCCCTGCCCAAGGAAATCTGTTGCCTTCTTTCTCCCTTCTGCAGTTGCATTGGTGACCTTTCAGAGCTTAGAAGGTAGTCACAAGACCCTCCTCTTTTACCCTTGTTATAGTTTTTTTTGTTGTTGTTCACATGTATGTGTGAAATGTAGGAGCATTTGGAATTTCCCTGCCCAAGGAAATCTGTTGCCTTCTTTCTCCCTTCTGCAGTTGCAGTCATTCAGTTTCTGTGGTTGTCACTTTTTTCTCAGAAGGAGTGTTTTGGAAAAATTATTTTACTTTTGTCCCCTCCAATCTGGTTTGAATAAATTCTAGTGAAGCAGATTTTGTAATTAAGTCAGATTTTGAATATTTTGTTATGAAGAGTTAACACAAATATCTTTGTCATAGCAACTTTGATCTTGTCACATGTATGTAAGTAATTTTCCATTTCTATCTGGAAATGAATAGCTTCATAAAGTTCTATGCAGAAGGTTGTTTGAACTCAGCAAGCTTTAATTAGTGGAAAGTTATACAAATATAATTAGTATGTAGCTTAAAAACACTACTTCTAAACTTTGATTTTATTATAAATCAAGGAATTTAAATAAATAACCTCTTAGGTTTCTACCAGGTCAATTATTCTGTGATTCAGATTTCTGATATAGCTGGTCTTTTTTTGGTTTTTGTTTTGACAGGTACATAAATAAGATACATAAATATTTTATGAAACAAACTTCAATCAAGTGTAACATTTTGATGCTTGGCATCTAGACTTCCTTGTGCCCTCACTATGCCAGCAGCAACTGTAGATCATAGCCAAAGAATTTGTGAAGTTTGGGCTTGCAACTTGGATGAAGAGATGAAGAAGATTCGTCAAGTTATCCGAAAATATAATTACGTTGCTATGGTATGCCCATGACTGAATCTTTAAATGCTTCTTACAAAGGAGGAAGAAGAAATTTTAAAATCTTAAAATCAGTCCTTCTGGTTGATTTTTAGAGATTCATTTAATCATGAAAATAGAAAATTTTTAATAACTTCCAGCCCAAAATCATGGGTTTGACATGTTGGGTTTATTATTTATTGCAGTGAGGGAAAACACTTTGGGATCCATGGGGCATTTGAATAAGAGAGTGTTAGAAAGGACTTAAAGATTTGGGCTTGTGTCAGGTGGTTTTAGAGAATGCTTAAGAAAGCAGGGCTTTGCTGTGTTGTTGTGTATTGGATGCTGTCAGGAAGCTGGGGTAATTCTGTGATTGGGTACCTTAGTAAGTGTTAAATGAGAGAAGTAACGGTCATTTATTTAGCTGGGATTGGGTTATTTGGTCACTTTGTGTTTTGATATTGTTTATTTTTTTGTCCTTGTTCAGACATGATTACAGAGTGGCCTTATCTAATGTTGAAGTTCTCTGAGATCGCTTATATTCAACAGGAGAACATTAGGGCCTAGCTATGAGTGCCAGGTCAGTTTCCAGATCTGCCTGATAGTACCAGATAAACTCCTAGAAGCCAGGGAGTTCCCAGCTATCTTTCTCAAACAAAGTCAGATCTTCCAGTGAAACATTGCTGGTCTGCAATTTTTTAAAAAAATTGTGATTGGAATCCCATGAACATACTGTGCTAATAAGCAGCTCTGCTCTTGTACATAGTGTACATTCTGCCTAGACTATCTAATCAGTTAATTACTTTTCTTCTTTACTGTTATACCTCATATATCTCTTGCAGCTATTCTACTGTTTTCTATATCCACTAGATTATTGTTAGCTCATAGAGCAAGGGGTTAGTGTCTTAATCATCCTTTCTCTCCCCACACCTAACATAACACATCAAATGAAATGGTTGTTGAATTGGACTGAATGAAGTATTCATTTCTTTACTGTTCCATAGTGACTTTCTTTTTTTTTTTGAGTTGGAGTCTCACTCAGTTGCCCAGACTGGAGTGCAGTGGCCGCTCCCGGCCACCGCAGCCTCGACCTGCTGGGCTCCGGCAATCCTTCCACCTCAGCCTTTCGAGTAGCCGGAATTACAGGCATGCACTACCACGCCCGGCTGCTTTTTTGATTTGTTGTAGAGATGAGATCTTGCTGCCCAGGCGGGTCTCGAACCCGCGGGCTCAGGCAATCCACTCACCTCAGCCTCCCAAAGGCGCGGGATTACAGGCTGAGCCACCGAACCCGGCTCATAATGACTTTATATTTAGTTTGTGTTCTTAGATAGCCCTAACTTGAATTATAATACTTAACTCAGTTATTTTTAATACAAATAAATATACTTCTTTGGGGATGGGCAGGTTGATTGGTTAAAATATGAATATTTGTACATACATAATGTACTACTTAATAAAGGTGTACTTACTTATAATTAAAATCAAAATTTTTTTTTATCCAAAGAATTCATAGTGATCATTTGTTCCTCAGATGATAAGGAGTGACATTAGAAGAGTGTTAACATCCTACAGGAATGAGTAGGTGGCACACAGTTCTTGACAACATGCTTTCTGTGGATTATAGAGAGAATACTGTTTTAGCCAAATAAATTAGGAGGCTAATTATGCTTTTCTTGGATAGTTTTGAAAGAAGCATTTTTCGTTCTAACTAGTTCTTAAGAAACTTGGGTTTAGCACTGGAATATTGTGAGCATAGTTTCACATACCCCTTGGAATACATGAATTTATTATTTTTCCGCTTCCTTGAATATTGAGTGTTTGGTTGCATTTATCATTTGCACCTCATACATAGTAATTTTTTTATTGATACCATATTTGAAGTAAGAAAAGGTCATTATAGAGTTTTATTTTATAGTTCTAAAAATAATGCTCTTGGTAGCTAAAAGTTACTCTAATTGAATATGAATTTGTAAAATTTCATGTATAACAGGATTCTTTGACTTGCATTAAAAATGAATTATTGTAATGATTTGTGAATTGTGGATGTGACTGTTCAGTGAATAATGAATCTTAAAATCTTTTTACAGGACACCGAGTTTCCAGGTGTGGTTGCAAGACCCATTGGAGAATTCAGGAGCAATGCTGACTATCAATACCAACTATTGCGGTGTAATGTAGACTTGTTAAAGATAATTCAGCTAGGACTGACATTTATGAATGAGCAAGGAGAATACCCTCCAGGAACTTCAACATGGCAGTTTAATTTTAAATTTAATTTGACGTAAGTGGAAATCAAATATATACTCAAACTTGTTTTTTGGTTTAATTTTAGGAATTGATTTTCCTCAAATATAGCAGAATTCTAAGTGAATTTTGTATAATTATCCTGGAAATATCTAAAATTTCAAAAGCTTAGGTTTCTTTTTTACTATAGGACCAAAAAAATAGGATAATGAAGATTTTTAAGTTCAAATATTTTGATTTTTAGAGATGAGCTATTTAAAATATGACTGCCACTGTTTGTGAATTTGGAAAACTTTGGGTGTTGAAAATATTTCTTGAGCAAAAATAATCTTACCACATTAGTTTTACTTTCAGACTTTGTGTGTGCAATTTCAATTATAAATGACTTTGTTGTAATATTTATCCTTGTGAAGAGATTTTTATTGTAGTCATTCTCCAGTTTATGAGTAGATTGCATATCAGATACAAAAAGATATTTCTTGGAACCTTGGGTCCTTTTTCCTTTCAAATCAATGTTATAAAATGGTCATGTTCTCACATCAGCCTACAAAACCTTTCTTAATTTACATATAGGAAAAGTCGTAGTATCCTTGAACCCTGTGTGTCTAGTTTGACAGAATCTACATTCTGACCTAAGCCCTGGGTCTGAACCCAGTTTCCTCGGTTAGAGTCCTTCTAACTGATGGAATTAATCTTGATAGCCAAGGATAGTTTGGGAAATAAAATATGTAATGTATTTTAAGTACAGCAGTCCTCAAAATAATACCATTTTGTTCAACATTGTTTCATTGTAATATTGATAACAGAATGAAATCAGTTTCCGACTGGGGCCACTATCTGTTTGGAGTTTGCACATTCTCCTCGTGACTACGTTGGTTTTCTTTGGGTTCTCTGATTTTCTCCCACATCCCAAGGCTGGTGCATGCTAGGTGAGCTGGTGTGACTAGGTTGTCCCAATGCAAGTGAGTACAGGTATGTGAGTGAGTGCATCCTGCCATGGAATGGGGTCCTGACCAGGGTCAGGTTCCAACTTGTGCCCTGAGCCCCAGAATAGACTCCAACCACTCTCGATCCTCAGTTGGAATAATGGGGTAAATAATTATCTTACTTGTTTTTATTGTTTTAAATATTTGTGTAGCTCACATTTATTTAATATTAGATGTATTTTGGTCTTTATTTAGAAGTTTGGTGGTGTTTTTGTGACCAGAAATATGCCACAGAAACTTCAGTCTTGATTATGTCATCTAGCTTGTGGTAAAATTGGTTTCCCCATTCATCGTTTGCCTTAAAGTCACAGTTTCCAAGAACCTATTGGTGATGTTAAGTGAGTGTGTTGCTGTATTGCATTGTCCTTCTATTTGACAACTTGCTTTTATGTAGTATGATCTAATATCAATTTGAAAAATAGTAAAAGAAGCTATCAGACAATTAATGGTAGAATTCTTTGTTTCTGTTCTTTGTTGAATAATGTCCTATTTAACATATGAGATGTAATGAAAAGCAGGCTGATGGTTTTATAGGATAGTGGTGTTCATGGTACAGTAATACAGCTTATAATTGCACTACATTTAGCCTGCCTCTTTGTTTCACACTATTGGGTTTAATAGTATACTCTCCAGAACCTTATAAAGGGTAAAGCATACTTATCTCCGCTCAAACTGATAACCTTTTATAAATACTATAGCTCTGAAACACTGTGAATTGCTTTCGATCCTTTCCACAAATGTAGCCCTTTAAAAAAATTAGTTCTTTACTACTTCATTTGCTTCATGTTAATTTTTTCTTCAAGCTAATCATTAGAACATTGCTTTTAAATTAGATACTGTTGTGATCTCAGTACATAAGTAATTAGTAATCCATCAGCATCTCAGTTTGGGTAAAACTGACAGTTTTCTGGAAACATCTTTGTTTAATAACAACTGCTTTCTCTAGAATAGGCTCTGAACAACATTTTTTCTTTCTTACACAGAAAGAACTGCTGTAGTTTTACTACCAAGTTTTGCTATCATTTATGCTAATGTCAGGAGATTTTTAAGGAGAAGAATATAGTGGAAAACATTCCATAGAAAGTGTCATTTGGAAGATAAAATCAGTCCTGCCTAATGTAGAGAGAAAGCACCATCAACATAATATTTTAAAGACAGGCGAAAATTTATTCTTGTGAGTGCCTAGAATTCATTGTGTCAGCTATAATGTGAGACACCAGGGATATGTTATTGAGGAAAGTTGGCCATGGTCTTTATAACTTAGTGTTTCTGTAACTCTTCTGTCTGCTTTCTACTGCCAAAGTCCAAGAATCAGAATTGTTAAACACTAATCAGTGTGTGGGAATTCTTTCCAAACTGAATTTGGAATTGATGTGCCCATGAAAATTGAAGTGAAATGTTGATGGACTGTGAAGAAGAAAAGCAGTCTGTGGACAGAATTCACTGACAAGTCAAAAAGAATGAAAACAAATTTTTAAAAGAGAGCCACCACTTTTGGTGATTGCTATAATTCTTCAGATTTGAGAGAATCATTCTAATAGAATAGTAGAAATTACAGGGGGTCTCAGGTTCAGTGTTAACAAAAAGGAATCCATTACTTCATTTGGGAAATGAAGGAAAATGGCAGTGAAAAGAAGGAGAAGAAGAGTACTGTAAGTGGAAGAGAAAGCAGAATCGAAAGAACAGTGGTTTTCATTTTGTTTTACAGATATTGCATAGGCATATTTGAAGATTAAGGAGTTAGTTAAGGAGTTGTAAACTGTTATGGATAAGGGAACATTCATTTGACAAATCCTTTGAGCAGTTGTGTGGAATAGCATGTGAGGTATTGGTAGCAATTAGCTTGGGACAATGAAGCAAGCTATCTGAGTCTAAATGAAAAAGATCTTAAGACAGATGGGTCTATGTAAAGACAAGAATGTTGATGGTCTGATATTTCTTTGTAAAGCAAGTGTGGGGTGAAGCCATATGCTGACGGTAAACTGTTATTGGAAGCTTAGAGAAAAAGGTATTAACCAAGTCTTTGCTATTTTGGTATAAGTTTCTCCAGCTGTGCTTAAGAGCAAGAGTAGAAGTTGTGGAAGACTGAGGTGACAGAGTTAACTAATAATAGAAGAGTTTTTTGTTACTCCAAGGATGTTAGATTATAAAGAAGTCTAAGATGAGAAAAGGATAATAGAGGAAGAGAGAGGCTAGAATAATTAAAAGAATGGTAAGTTTAATAATTGGGGATAAAAGTGACTGTTAAAGAATTTGTGGTGTCAGAAGAAAAGTTAGAAGTCTTAGATTTGGCATAATGTCATTCATTCATTGTTTTGACAACTCAGGAAGTGACCATTTTGGTCCCTGCTGTTGAAGATCAATGTGAAGTAATAAATAATGAAATACGTTCTTAGGTATGAGATAGAAGTTGCTGAGAGAGAAAAGAACCTTTTAAGTCATGTAGTAAGTTGGATTTTGAGGAATAGACAGTAGATGACCATAGATAAATGGTTTGAAACTTCAAATTGTAAGAATTAGAGAAAAGATATTGAGCAGTGCCAAGTCTAAAGAGATTTGTGAATTTTCTTTCTTCCTGTCTAACGTTCTTTCTGTCATTGAATTTGAGAACTGAAAAATGATGGTGACTCTTTGGGGAAAGATGGAAGGGAATACAGTGCTCTGTGAGAGTCAGTTGACTTGGTTGGAGAGGTGATGGAAGTTAAAAATAGATTTGCGCCTTTTATATCCTGTGAAACAGTTAATTTCATGGAGCATTGTTAATATTTGTCTGTTTAATATTCTTAATATTTGTATTGGTAGACACTTCTGACTTTTAAACTGCTTATTTAGGCTAGTTAGGCAACAGGTTTTCTTCTAGTAAATTGCAGCTTTATGCTTGTTATACTCTATTAATATAAGATGTCCAGTATAAAGTTGGCTATGTATGTTTGCTTTAGATACAAGTATTGATCAAGTAAAAAAATATGCTTAACTTGGGCGAGGGGATGCTTATTTGAAGCTTTAAAAATCTGTTTAAATTCTGGAATTTTTTTTTTTTGAAAATGCACTTTAAATGATAGAACTTTGGATTTTTTTTTTTAAATTGTGGTCAAATACACATAACAAAATTTACCATCATAACCATTTTCAAATATACAGTTCAGTACTGTTAAGTTTTTTCACATTATTGCACAGCTAGTCTCCAAAATTTTACATCTTGGAAAGTTGAAATTTCATACCTATTAAATGACAACCTTCCTATTTCTCCTTTCTCCAACTCCTGGCATCCATGAATTTACTTTCTGTCTCTTTGAATTTGACTTTTTCAGATACTTCACATGAGTAGTAATCATGTACTGTAAGTCTTTTTGTGACAGACTTATTTCACTTAGCATAAGGTTTTCAAGGGTCATTTATGCTGTAGCGTGTGTCAGATTTTCCTTTTTAAGACTAAATATTTGGGTTGCTTCTACCTTTTGGCTATTATTAATAATGCTGCTAAGAACAAGAGTATACACATATGTTTTGAGACCCTACTCTCTTAATTCTTTTGGGTATATATCCAGAAATGGGATTGCTGGGTATATAGTAATTCTATGTTCAAATTTTTGAGGAATCCCTGTACTGGTTTCCATAGCAGGTGCACTGTTTTACATTCCCACCAATAGTGCACAGAGTTCCAATTACTCCACATCCTTGCCAACACTTGTTTTTGTTTTGGGGGAGTTTTTTTTTTTTTTTGAGTCGGAGTCTCACTCTGTCGCTCAGACTGGAGTGCAGTGGCCGCTCCCGGCCACTGCAGCCTCGACCTGCTGGGCTCCAGCAATCCTTCCACCTCAGCCTTCCGAGTAGCTGGAATTACAGGCACACGCTACCACACCTGGCTGATTTTTTGATTTATTGTAGAGATGAGATTTTGCCAAGTTTCCCAGGCAGGTCTCGAACCTGCAGGCTCAGGCAATTCACTCACCTTGGCCTCCCAAAGTGCGGGAATACAGGCTGAGCCACCAAGCCCGGCCTAGGGTTTTTTTTTTAAAATAACAGCCTTCCTGATGGGTGTGAGGTGATC